ACTTCAGTGGTCAACATTTTCGTAGAACTGTGTGTTTTCAACAGAAACACTATAGCAACCATGATGAGATCAATGTTTAACACCTTTTAAAAAAGACATAGCCTTAAGTTTAAATATGAATTCACTGAATATTACACTAATTCATCATTTTTATTTAATAGTTTTTTTTAATTGCCTTGCAGTTTTACGTTTCTTAAATGAATAAATGCAGAATCCAGAAGAAATATGAAGTGATCATTTTTGATAACATGGATGTTATTGTCAGTATATTGTAATCAGCTATTCTCAATTGTTATATTAGTCTTGTTTGGTGCTAATGTGAAAAGACACATGATCAGAATCAGTTTTGACATTTATATTTCAACACTAACAGAATAAAGATTTAGAATCATGAGTTGCATTTGTTGTGATGTCTGCAAAGGTCAAGAAGGAGGCCGGAGAATTTAAAGGATATATTAAAGAATTTTTATTTAATATCATGCAAAAGGAGGCATACAGTTATAAAAAAATATGAAATATAGATATATCTTGCATATAACTTTTTTAAGGTATTTGTCACTCTAAAATGTGACAGTGAGAGAGAGACCTGTTGGTGAAATAACATGTTCATCCAGCAGGAGGAGCTTCAGCAGGGTCACTGTATTCACAGAGACACACTGACACCAATATTGAAAACAATACAAACATAGATCAAACTAAAACACTGCTCAAAAGCTATGACATAAAATACATTAATATCACTTAATATTGAATATAATGAACTAATGTTATAATGTTTGACCATTTGACCTTGATTTAATACCAATCCCCTACTGGTAGGCCCCTATAGAGTGCTGAAGCAAGTTAATCCAAACTTTATACATTTTGAAGCTTATATAAAGATTTTAAAAAACACAATCAGACACAATAAAGTTTAAAAAAACACAAGCAGGTTATAACTGTGTGTTCTATGTCATAGATCAATATTTGGAGGCTTTGTTCACCACAGACCTTATTTCAGGCGATTTAGCATAAACCCATTCAAAAATCCCATAGGCTTTAGAGCCATAGGCTCACTTCCGCGTTTTGGCCTACAGAGTGACGTCGTAACTTCGGCACTCTATTGTGCATTTCCTAATGTTGATGTGGAGTCTATACAACATGTTTACATGCATCAAGGGTAAAAAAAAAAACTGTTTAATTTCCTCATAATAATAATAATATACATTTGCACATCACCACATTTTCAGTGATTCTCAAACTCGTCAGATTAATTAATACCTCTAAATCTCTCGTTTCCAAAAGCTACTCTGCTCTGATTGGCCAGACGGCTCAGTCTGTTGTGATTGGTTTACCACGTAGCTAGCGCGCATGACAAAAACAAAAACGCCCATTGTCAAACCAACGTTAGTTCTGCTTGTCCTGAGGCTTCCCTCACCTACTGTAAACACATGAACAATGACAGATTTTAACCAAATTTACAAAAGTGAGTACGACGATGAAACACTGGAAGAACTAGTTATTCAACCCGAACCTCCATCGCAAGGACGACTCAAGCAGGACGTTTCTCAGAGATACACTAATCAGTCTGAGGAACTTTATTAGCTGATGTGCATGTCCATCAATAAACTGATCGTTTTACTTTAACTAATTTATTTTACTGGATATTTTTCCAATATATTGCGGTGAACATGTGGAAACTGTATTAATAACATAGTTCCCTTTCAAGGCTACAGAACTTCGACATTACGAATGTCGTTTATGGGAACTCCTCTCCTTTTCCACTTCTGCTGAAATCTTATAGGCTAACGCCAGCAGAGCTGGCCAATTGACGCAAATATGCAAATACTAAACACAGATGAGCGTCAATATCCATCAGAAGCTCTTTCTTCACGCCAAAATCGTGTGCTAAACATAAACTGTAAAAAATATGGACAAAGCGTCTGTGACGTCACCCATAGACTCTCTGAAGAACGGGTTTGAGGCTGTTTATGGGGGGTATGGGTGGCGCCATACTGGAAAATCTTGGAAAATACAAAAGTTTCAGAAAGGTTACAGAGGTGGTGTGATGTGTTGTGTCAGATCATGGCGAGACGTCAAATTTACTCGGCGCATCGCGTTATCAGCTGTCAATCAAAGTTAACCGCAAAGTTAATATCTAAATATGATCTAAACTAACGAGTTAGAAAAAAATTCACCCCCCACACAGTTGTCAGGCACCCAGAACATATTGAAGATTACAATAAAAGTCCATGGGACCAAACTGTAAACATATGAATTTATGCTGTGAAAACGGAGATTTTAATATGACGTCTATGGATATTTGCTCCCTTTTGGGACCGGCCTCTAGCAGATTTGAGATGTATTGCAGTTTTTCGCACTTCGGGGTAGACTTCATCTTTCAGATTCTACAATGTTGCCGCTTGGGTGCTAGAAACCTACTTCATAAATCTAATATGTATTTTTCGCCATCGTCGAAGGTGTGCCGAAGATGCGTGATACTCTTCTGCATACGATGGCGAACATTGTCAACTTGTGCTCGGGCCCCATCGTGCCCCCTGACACGCACCTGTTCTGTATCGCGTGCATGGGGCTGGCCCACGCCGAGTTCAGCCCTTGAGAGGAGCGCCCCCGACAAATCTTGCGAAAATCAGATAAAAAGCAGCACTGGATGCAACAGTGATGCTGACATGGCGATCTTGTTGATGGACTAGTAAGTATATATTTCTAAGTTTGTGTGCATTTTATTTTGTGATTTCACTGAATAGAGAGAGTCCGCAACGGTGATAAATGGGCTTTATGCACAGCTGCACTACTTCCTGAACTTCAGCCAGCTCCTTGTTTCCTGTGTGCCATTATTGGACAAATTAATTAATTCAGGTGTGCCTGACCTCAGTAGTCATGGCAACAATAATCAGACACACCTGAATTAATCAAGTTTGGCCAATAATGGCGGACAGGAAACAAGGAGCTGGCTGAAGTTCAGGAAGTAGTGCAGCTGGGCATTTGTGATGAGTCGTTCATGAACGATCCATTCATTGCGTCTGTCATGTGACAAATGAAATGACTCGGAAGGTAAATTAATTATTTATGATCCCTGTAAATAAGTTTTGACTGAATTATAAGGATTTCTTAATTCAGAATATGATCAAGATTAAGTAGGTGGATGTGTTCGGGGAATTTGCCTGTTAAAAGTATGACATTTAAAGCCAAACGAAATGACTCGAAAAAAGATTCGTTCATTTTGATGAACAAGATCGAACAAGAGAGTCGGTAAAATGATCCGAACTTCCCATCACTACTGGGCATAAAGCCAATTAAAGAGCGCGTCCGAGTAGAGACTGTGCGTGCGCCGCCACATACACTCTTAGAGAAAAGGGTTCTATATATAGCATAGGGTTCTTTACTCAACTCCAAATTACATTTTATGCTAAAAAAAGGTTCTATAATGACAAGAAAGAACGCGTTTGGCACAAAGGTTCTTTATAGGCTGTTATTCATTCATATATTACATTATTCTGCAATATTTTGTAGTTGTAATTAAATTATTGTTTATTAAACTTAATATCACATTTTAATCATGCTGACTTTTGGAGGAGAAAATCTGAAATGGCTCTCTTCATGGTATATTGATTAACTACATAAAATGATATAAATATATACATTTTCTAACCCCCATATCTTGAATTTTGATATAGAAAATTTTAGGGGTTCCAAATACCTAGCGCTTTAGAACCTTTAAAGGTTCTATATAGAACCTTTTCTTCTAAGAGTGTAGGGGGACCAGACGTGCCGAAATCTAAGCTGTTGTCCCGAATCTGGCCCCAATTGTCCCTAAAATTATATTAAAACAAAACATTGAATAGTTATTGTCTGATAAAATATTAAAAACTGTATGTGGAGGTTGAGTCGGCCCCCGCCAGCAGCTCGTTGGCTGCAGCATCTTTTCTGTTTCTTTTTTTGAAGTTCTACAAAGATGTAGGCGTGAATTTAAATATACATTGATACGCAAATTTTAATTTATTCGTTTCGTTGACATGGCTGGTGTACCGGAACCACAACACACCATTTTTTTAGTGGCAGACTAAAGATTAATGAGAGACTGTTGAAAAAATAAATAAAATGTTTGGTTCAGGTTTGAAATCATTATCGTTTATTATAGGCTATGTAGTCTAATATCATAGGCCTACCCATAAACACCCACTAAATCTCTTTTTTTAAGGCACACTATGCAAGATTTGTACTTTACTGTAACAGCTTCAAAAGGGTGTCAGGCCGTGAGTGCAGAGTGGTATTTGCGGTATTTGGTATCTGCACGAGTGGTATTTGCGAAAGTAACGTTAAATTCAATTTGACAAAAATGGAATTCCTGCATAGTGTGCCTTTAATAAAAAAAGTGCAATTTAAATGCAAGAAAAAATGCAACATTATTTTTGTTAACTGCATTCATAAAAAATATAAATCTGTAATTATTTGGTTCTCTCTTATTTTATTAATACATTAATTTACACCAAATTAAGATCTTAACCTTATTCAAGGGGAAGCTTTGCCCGGATGGGCTCGTTTTGTTCAAGATAGAATTTTAGTCCCAGTCCAGCCCTGTCTACGCTCTTAAAAATAAAGGTTCGTTGGCATCAATGGTCCCACAAAGAACATTAAACATTCATGGAATCTTTCCATTTCACAAAAGGTTCTTTATAATGGAAAAATGTTTTCACAATGTTCTTCTAAAAATATTCTTCTCTCAGGTTTCCTTAAATCCAGCCCCGGAGATCCACTGCCCTGCAGAGTTTAGATCAAACCCAAATCAAACACACCTAAGCAAGCAAATCAAGGTTTCCAGAGTTACTAAAAAATCCAGGTATATGAGTTTGATCCGGGTTGGAACTAAACTCTGAAGGACATTGGCCCTCCAGGACCGGATTTGAGGAGCCCTGTTCAGCATGACTGCGAAACCCCCCTTTTGAAACTTTTAATTTTGTATAATACCATGAGTGCAAATACCATATACATGTATTCACAGAGAACATGTAAATCTTCTCCTGCTCTGTAATTCAAGGGTTGATCAACGTCTCATGACTCCTCCGTACACCACAGCATCACTCTCAACAGCACTCTGTCTCTGAAAGAAAACACATACATGTTCACTCACATATTTATCAAGAACTCGCTTTACACTTTTTCTATTTCTAAAATCCTTCTGCCTGTAAAATGTTATTTTCACATTTTGGGGAGATAAAAGCATATCTGTGACATATAAGAGTTTGTGACAATAATGTAATGGGGAGAGCGAGGCACAACCTAACGCGGGGTTAAATGTAACACAGACCTTTTACATATTTAGTCAGGATTGTGTTTCCACTCTTTTTTTCTCACCCGTTGATTTGTGGAAAGTTTTGCTTAGATTTCATGAAGATGCTGGACAAAGAGTGTTTTGACACCATGCAAGTATACATTTTTTCATCATAGGTTTTTTTTTTAAGGTTTCTGAGTTGTGTGTGTACGTCACCATTTCCATTTCCACCATTTTGAAACATGTCAGTAACTCCTTGCAAATGTTTAAAATATGTTTTACACAGCAGGGTTAGTTGTAACAGTGTTCATTGTGATTTTAAGCTCGTTTTTATTATTATTACTTTCTAAAATTAATTATAAAATTTTTGCATGCAGCGGCCGCTCACAAATATAATTTAATCGCAATTACAATATTTGATATTTGCACATCTGTGCAGCCCTTTCCTATTTCTATCCATGATATTGATCCATATTAGAAGGATGATTGGATGAGAGATGGATATATGGATATCTATCTATACAGATACACAAACTATACAGATAATATAGGACTGAATTCTGTTAGTTACAAATAACCTCTTTGTCTTTTGACTGTTAACCCCGCATATGGGGTAAGTTGTACATTTGCACTTCTGTCACTTTCAGTACAACATATGGTAGGTCCTAGAAAAGAAAAAAAAAAATAACTAAATTATTTAAATCTAACTAAATAATTTTTTAAATAATTGAGCCAAAAGCAAAATGTGTTGGGTTTGTGCCCCGCTCTCCCCTGTCACTGAACATTTATTTAACAATAACAAAAGTAAAATTATTGTTTAAGTTATTTATCTCCTCTCTTTTTTTGTGTTTATTTCATATTAAATCTGATATTATTTTAAACGTATATGTTTTTTAACAGTTGATAGTTATTTTAATCCTGATCTAATCAGCAGAATACATTAACCTGTGTAACAGTTAAAACTTGCTAATAAAGCTCTTGAGGCAAGCGGGCTAAACTCTGCAGGACAGTGGCGCTCCAGGACCGACTTTGGACACCCCTGTCATACAGTTACACATGTTATAGAGATGCTGTGTTGTGTTCAGCTCCGTTTTTTTATCACTGTTTTTTTTCATCTATTTGCCTGCATTGATTTGACGTATGCTGTATTGATGTGTTTTGCAGTGTGTTTATTGTCATGTTCCAAAATAATTACATTTTTTAATTTCTTAAGAAGTGCTATTATTGTGTATGTATATATGTGTGTGTGTGTATATATATATATATATTTATATTGTCTTTTATTGACAAAATATATTAGTTTGTGTTGGATAATTGTTTGATTAGATCAGATAACATTTTAAGATGTCATATGGTCATGGTTACAATATACCCCTTACATTCAATTCCATTCTGTAGGGCATAAATAATGATAGAAGTACAAGACAACATTTGTACCATCTACCAGACGTGTGAAATTAATTTGGAAAAAATAATAATACTCTGAACCCTAGATTTACACAAATGGAGAAAGTCAAAAAAGCGTTAGGTTGTGCCCCATCTCCTAAATCTAAATCTAAATCTGTGACTCTACAAAATACACAGATCAGAGCAGAAGACAAAGGGACACTAAAATACATCTACTGCTTTTATAAATATCTGTCTAGACTCGCTGCTACAATAATTCAGACACACCATACATAGAAATAAATTCTCTTACCGTTTTATGTCTTTTGTAGAATGTCGGATCAGCGTAAGTGATCTCTCTATCACGGGTCTGGACTGTATCAGAATCACAGAAAAACACTCAATGAAATGATGTTTGAGCACTGCTTTACATTATTTTGATATGATATATCATATATATATATATATAATACTTGCCTTCTCTGTCTGTTTTTCTGTGTTTCTTGCAGATGCAGAAGATCCCGACAGCAGCAGCGACTATCATCAGAGATCCAGCAACAGAAGAAGAAGAGATCAGCACTATCAGTGACTCTGAGACTGGACCTGAAGGAGAGAGTCATTAGTGTGAGTGCATGTGTACATAAACACAAGTGCAGATATCATAGCAGATGTATCATGTACCTGAACATGACCGACAGAGTTCAGTGTTGAGATGTGTGGTCTGGTTGCTGATGGTATTGTTGAGCACACAGCTGTACGCATCATCCAGACACTCAATCTCCAGAGGAAGAGAGAGATTGACTCTGAGATCAGACAAACTGATGCTGGACAATACACTCATTCCTGCGTACCAGGAGAGAGTCGCATCACTCTCATTCAACACTGAACACAGCAATGAACAGTTTGATGATGATGATGATGATGATTGTTTTGAAGAATGGCTGATGACAGGAACAGGCAGGCGAGCTTGAAAACAGAATAAATCTAATTCAGTATAGACTATAGAGTGCTGTGATATTTGTCAGTTCATTAAAATTCAAATTGAATGAATGTGAGAAACAAATGGTATCAAATGTATATTATTAAAATATGTAATTATAAGAATGCATAAATGCACAAATAATTTTTTATCATCACAGGATTGTATTTATATAATTGTATAATATTCTCAGTAATCATGAATATTATTAATTTTTAAAAGACCAACCTGCACGCACACACACAAACATACACTGCTGCTCAAAATTTTGGGATTGGTAAGATTTTTAATTTTTTTTTAAATAATTTTTAAGAAAGGCTTCATTTATTTTGATAAAAATACGAAAAACAGTAATATTGTAAAACATTATTACAATTTAAAATGACTGTTTTCTATTTTTGTAAAATTTTACACAACCGTTCTACCAACATCGAAATTGCTGATGAGATATAAAGGAAGATATCTAGTGGAAAGAGACAATTTTACAAAAATACCTGTCAAGGTTTGGTATAGACATCGCCCAATAGTAGCTTTGATCACAGGAATAAATGACATTTAAAAATTCTAATGGAAAACGGTTGTTTTAAATTGTCATAATATTGACTATTTTTTTATAATAAGAGATTTCTTTTCAAAAACATAAAAAAGCCATATATCCAAAATATTTGAATAGCAGTATATATATATATATATATATATATATATATAAAATAAATAAATAAACAAGGTAGTAATTCTCTACTCACCGTAGACGGTAAGATTGAATGTGTTGAGCGGCATCTTTGATCTGGTGCTGATGACTCTATAAAGTCCAGAGTCTGTGGTTCTGGTGTTTGTGATGGTCAGAGATCCAGTCTTCTCATTCAGTGTCAGTCTGTCTCTGAATCTCTCAAAGATATTTCCTTTGATTTTAGCTATGAGACTGTTGTGTCCAGTTCTCCACATTATCAGTTCACCTGTCTGTATTTCAGTATCAGTGTTTAGAGTGACAGATTCTCCCTCAGTCACTGACACTGACTTCACGGCATCAACACCAAACACTCCTGAACAACACACAGAAATATTCACTCAATAAAAGGTTTTTCTTTTCTTTTTTTTATTCTTCTCTCTGAACTAATTTCAATTTATACTTATTGAAAAGGGACCGCAGCATGAACAGACAATTATTTTAGTAAATTAGTTTGATACAACTGGAAAATAGGAGGCAAAATGAATGATTAAAATAATAAATAACGTAAATATGCTTGTCAACAAATGAAAATATAAATAGAAGTGAAGACATAAAAATACTTACCAGACAGACTCCAGCACAAAAAGATGAAAATAAACATTTTCTTCAACAGTTCGCAACACAGTGAATGAAGCTGCTGGACTGTAGAGAAGTGATTTAATGGAACTCTGCAGTCAGTGTGAAGAAACCCCTCCCTTCAGAAAGTGTACATGACTTCTCACAATAACACTGTATGATCTACAATAAGAAGAATGAGAAAAACGGAGAACTTGTTAAAAAAAAACAATTATATGATTATGTATATTATATTATAAATACTGTAGTTAATTTTGCTTTTGAAATTTAATCCATAGTGCTTTTATTTTGTTGGAAAAGTGCAAGGAGACGTTTAAGCTTCCCCTTTGATAAACTGATTTTCAGAAATCGAGTTTGTGTGAATAGCATTTGCTGTGTTTTTGCTGTTGCTTTGTTTTGAACTATTTTCATTGAAGGAGCAAAAACAGACAATATGTGTCTACAAAGTTTGATTTAGGCTACATTTAACTTATTAATGTCTTATAAAATCACATTATATTTACAATCATGCTGATAATGAGACAAAAATAGTGCTTCATATCATTTAACATCATATTATCAGTTTAAAATCAGTAACTCATTATTGGGGGATTTTTGCCCCCCAATAACTATAAAGAAACAAATTAATGAATGAAATAATAGATTAATTACCTTTTGAGAAATAAATAATGTAAAATTATTTAAAAGTGGTCAGGACATAAATCAGTATTAACTGTTCTTAAACTTGAATTCTTTCTGGAAAAGGTCCGTCAGTGTGGGCGGTGCTACTGGAGGAGTTTATCCTCACTGACTGCAGTTTCACTAAACCACTTTACAACAGACCGGCAACACGTTTGACTTTTTCAAGAGTGCGAGAACTGATTATTATAAAATTTCTGTTGTGTGAAACCACTTAGAGAACTGAAGAAAATGTTTGATTTGTTTTTCTTCTGTTTGTTCTCCTGCAGTCTGGCTGGTAAGTATTTTTATGCCTTTAGTTCTCTTTATTGTTTGTTTGCCTGTACAATATTCTGTTCTTAAATGTTTCCATCCTTCATTCAGCATATTTAATATATAATATTTTTTTAAAATTCATCAGAATAAACCTACTAAACTACTACTGTGCAGAAAATTGTTTCAAAATGAAAAACAAAAGTCTGTTAAACCTCCAAATTGTGAGTGAATATTTCTGTGTGTTGTTCAGGAGTGTCTGGTGTTGATGCCGTGAAGTCAGTGTCAGTGACTGAGGGAGAATCTGTCACTCTAAACACTGATACTGAAATACAGACAGATGAACTGATAATGTGGAGAACTGGACACAACAACAGTCTCATAGCTAAAATCAAAGGAAATATCTTTGAGAGATTCAGAGACAGACTGACACTGAATGAGAAGACTGGATCTCTGACCATCACAAACACCAGAACCACAGACTCTGGACTTTATAGAGTCATCAGCACCAGATCAAAGATGCCGCTCAACACATTCAATCTTACCGTTTACGGTGAGTAGAGAATTACTACCATGTTTATACTGTGTACTTTGTGAGTGTGTATGTGTATGTTATGAATGTTAATATTAATATATTTTATTTTAATTTATACAGAGAAGACTGCGCTGTTTTACATTTAATTACTTTATTCAGTTTCTGTATATTTCCTACCTGAATATTACTGTTACACCTGGCGCTGCATCATATCATTACGCCTGCTGCACTCATGGTACGGCAGAAAAGTTTCTTGATTATTACGCAGGAATGAGAGTGTAGTTCCTAGCCTTATCAGCCTAGAAAATCACAACTTGACATTTTCCGTCGATCTTAGTGCACGATGTAACTACAGAAGAGTCAAGTTTTAAATACACTGTAAAAAATACAAATTAAAAAAGGTTCAAATGACTGGCAGCAAAGGGTGCCAAACAAATACCATAAAAATAAAGTAAAATATCCTAATTTAAATTAAGCGCAAAAAACATTTTACACATATTTTTCTTAAATGTTTTACAGAAAAACACTGTTATTTTAAAGCTATTATCTGGATTATTACGATCAAACACTCTAACTGTAAAAACAATGCATTATTATGATCAAATACCTTAATTGTAAAAAAGTCATAAAAAAACATAGTAAAAAACAGTCAATGACAGTCAACAATGGCTGCCATACAAAAAGCATAAAATAAATGTAAAATAGCCTAATTTAAATAAGTGCAAAAGTAGAAATCCTCATTAAGCTTTTTAACAGAAACACAGTTATTTCACATCTTTCCAGAATTTTTTATGAAGAAAAATGTAAGTGATGTATGATTTACTGTGCCTATACATCACTGCATCAGCAACTACACAGTTACTGTCCGTTAAATAAAGCAACATGCAGCATTTCATCAGTGTTACCCTGCTCATCCTGAACTGAAGCACAGGCTCTACTCTTCAACACAATGATCCACAAAACACACCATACAGACAGGGACGTTGGAACTATTTTGTGAGAGGGGGGGCGGAATTCCCGGTAAGGGGGGGGGGGGGGATTACGCACCGTTTCAAAATATTGGTATTAAATCCATTTTCTGAGAATTTATCATTTTTTCAAACCATTGATTAAAATTAAATACAATTTATAAAAACGAAATTCTTTTAAAAAACATAATAAGTCAGAATTACTGTGGGCTATGTCTGACTCATTCCATGTTTTCCGATTTGGTGACTCTATTGATGGACCGCTTCTTGATCCATCAGTGCTTGAGTCACCATATATCGGAAAATAAAACGTTTTAAACATGAATAAAACATATCCTGTTAAGCAGAGCATTAATTTAGTTCGTTTAAATAAGAGATCTAGCGCTAAAATGTTTTGTTTTTGAAATCAAGAGGAACGCTTGTTGCCGCTGCTGTCAGTTGTAGGCTATGTTCTCTGTGGCGCGCAGTCTTCACTCGGATGCGCACTTTAATCGCCTTTACGTCGGAGACTCTATTCATTCCGGTAAAATCACAAAATAAATGTGTCCTATGCTTGATATTGACTGTAACCACAGATGGACATAGTCTGTTTTGATGAGAGAGAAAAAAAACTGTACCTAGGGCGGATTAGAACCCGTAACCTCTGGCACTCTGGGCAAAAGAGCTACCACTAGACCATTCAAATGGTCAAATGAAATCTGGCGGATCGATTTATTTATTTATGGGTTGAATAGAAAGGCTGTACAGTTTGACAAGTTTGTACCCAGCACTTCCGAACGTGTCTTTGTGCCCAGCAAATTTAAAACTGACGCCCGTGCTTAGGTGAATTTAGGGGGCGGCCGGGGGAGGGGGGCGGCCGTAGGAGGGGGGGCGGCCGCCCCTCCCGCCCCCCCTGTTCCAACGTCTATGCATACAGAAACAATTTACATCCCAACAGAACATTAAACACTAACAAATCTCTCAAGATCTCTGCATCATCACTTATTACAATCCAGACTTTATTTATTGCATACTAATATTCTTAATGAGAATTAACAGATGTTTAGAAGTTTTTTTTAATGTAAAATAATAAAGTTTGATGTCACCATGATGGAGATCAGTGTTTGCTTTAGTGGGGCTCTTGACCCTTTGCTTTTAACTTTACTTTTTTTTTCTCTGGCTGCTTTACTGTGTGTTGCTGATACATATTTGTTATAGTAGGAATCCAAGAGAATCTCAGTTCAGAAGATCTGATCACTTATTAGTGGTAATGGTTATTTATTTGAATGCTTTATTAATATCACCCAAAGAATGTAATATCTGATTAAGTCATTAAATATTAGTAGTTAATTTTGAAAGCCAATACGGTTATATAAGATCATGCAGTGCCAAGCAAGCAAGATTTTATCAAATCATAATACAGAAAATGTTTTTTGACAGAATAGACTCAGACAGACATCAAGAATCAGCGTATGAATCACTACAATGGTCATCAACTCTGAACTACTATAAAGTAACATAAAGACTTTGTTGATTGTCACCATTGTTGAGATTCATATGTTGATTATTGTTGTCATACTACAGCTCAAACATTTTCTTTATAATAGATAGTTTTCCTAAATTTCAGATTTCTCACAATGGTGACAAACAAAAAGTTTCATGCCGCAATGCTTGCTGGGACTTAGGGGTGAGCTTTGTACTAGCGACATGAAACTTTGCCACCATTGTTGAGAGTCATATGTTGATTCTTAATGTATTTGACTAGTTTCTGCTGCAGCTTTAAACTTTTTCTAAGCATATTTTTTAAAGAATTATAGCAAAAGGTAGCTTAGACCATAATATCCTGTACACACTGAGCATTTATAATCAAATATTAGCTAATCGTAACATGCTAACCTTGCTTACTCTTTTATAAGTCATCTCTTAAACGTTAAACTTATCTTGCTATGTTCAAAAAACATCATGTTGAAAAATTATCATCTGATGATCTTTTTCCTCAAGGTAATTTCAGGTGTTTCAGATGTGCAATATAAATACACAGAAACAGCAAACAGAGAAATGAATGGTAAAGAGCGAAGGGTCAAGAGCCCAAATAATAAAGCTGCCACTAATCACAATTCTGGTGATTTCAAATCAAACATTCAATAAATTGTCAACACAAAACCTGGTAATTCTCAATAAGTGCTTCGGTAGACGTCTGACAGAAATAAATTGTTTGTTATAATAAATTGGTTATTAACAAGTGAAATCAGCATTTGAAAAAACATTGAACACACATTGTGTGTTAAACTACACAACTTGTGTCAAAATACCATCAACAGATAATGTGTGTTGTTTTTTAACACATGTTTGTATGATGTATGCTAAGATATGCTAAGTGCTACCGAGAGAACCGGAGATCGGCTGAATGGATTCAAAAACGGTAAAACTCAACAGTTTAACTCTGGGGGAGTTGTACAATGAGCCTATTTCCAAAAAAGTGGAGTATCCCTTTAATTTCTAAAAAATTAGGCAAAAAATACATTCAGTAGGCCTATCAGTATTGGTTGTGGTGATACTGGCCTTCATTCATAATACATGGCAAAAATGTACCATTAAACACTTTTTTAAATCTATGTTGTTTGTTAATAATTTGGAAATTCAATGTGAACTGAT